CACTACAGTTGATGAAATTGGAAGTATTGGGTGGTAATTGAAGGAGGGAATTGGAGGGCTGTTGACCGGTGTCAACGTTCGGCGGCTTGGGTGGCCGGAATTCGGACACATCAGGGCTGAAAAAAAGGCAAAAAGCAGCCACTTTTTTGGACTGATTTGCATTTTTAAAAAGTTTAGGAGCATATTACAATTTATTCTTTATTTTTCTTTTCTTTATTTTTTGTTTTATTTATATAGGATGGTATAATGGTCATTTTATGTTAAAAATTGGTAAAAATGATGTTTAGCACAAAAAATGTAAAAGATAGAGATGTTTTGTGTCAAAAAACAAAATGTATGGACGTTTTCTACATAAACTTTCAAAGGTAAGGACGTTTTGCGCCAATTACCCCTTTAAAATTGTAACAATTTGGGATATGGCTATCAATTCCTCTTTTTAATTCAACTTCATTTCTCAGCCGTCAGATCAAGAATATGACCGTTAAGAGACGCTCCCCAACAAAATTCAAATTGAAATTTTTGTAATAATACGCAATAAAACCCTAGAAACAAGACAAAAACGCTCCCAAGAAACCTTTCACATATTCAAAACCCACAAAATCTCACTTCTTCAATAGTGTTTCTACCAGAAATCGCCCTTCTTCTTTTCTCATACAGTTTTATTGTAATTAATTAATTAATATACATGCCCAAGATGATGCTAAGATCAAATGGCAAACCCCCACTTGCCAGATCTCCCATTAGGCTTCGTCCTCGCAACGCTCTTCAGCCCACTGCAAGCAACACTGCGCAGATCCCACCAGGTATTTTCCAGATTTCAAGAGAAAAGTAGAATAAAAATATGCAACGATTTATAGTAATGCTTTAAATTTCTTGATATATCTTTTTTTTCTAAATTCTTAGTTAATTTCTTGAATTTGTTGAGGGAGAACAGGTTCTTTGACGAAATCCCAGTTGCCTAAATGCTCTTGGGACTTGGAAAAACTTGAGGTTCGTCCTGAATACAACACCATTTCCTGTGAATTAAGGGTTCTTGCTAAAATGGTGCGACAAGAATTTGGAACTGGTGATGAAAACATGGATGTTGAAATTGATAACGGTGTTTTGAGCACTAATCGGAATCCTTTGTTTGAGAGGGGTAGGTTTTATGAAGAATACTCTGCAAGAAGAAATGAGAGGCTGAAGAGAAAGAAGGGTGAAATGGAGGGTCATAAGAAGAAGCCCATGAATAATCTTGGAGTCAGAATTGAATCTGCAAAGAAGTTAGACAGCAGGAGAAAAATGGCGGTGGCTGCCACCCCGATGATGGTTCAGAGAGAGGCTGCAACACCGCCGAGGTATTTGCTGAGGAGCAGTGCTAGAAAGGAGAATAAGAAGCCTCCTCTGCCGAAGAATTTTGAGAATTCTGTTGGGTATACAGAGAGAAAAGTTGGGGGTAGAAGG